TCTTGCTTTCTTGCTTTGTTTCTGACCTTTCTTTCTCTAAAATAGTTGCTCTTTATCTCCCCTTGAAAACCTATGAAAAAGGCTCTTTTTATCCTTTTCAATAAACGCTTGAATTAAAATCCTGTAAATGCAGAATTTTTGAAAACACGATGGGCACCATGACTTTCCCCCTGCTCTGGGTTTCATGTATGGGTGCTTTATTCTGCTAGGTGCCGCAGCCTTGCTTCACCAGCACCATGACACTATGATCTCTGGTCCACTATGGTGCCATGTTACCTCAAGAGAGCCGTAGCCTTCACTCTTCTAGGCCGTAACCTCCACTCTTCTAGGCTGCAGCCTTCACTTCCTAATGCTACCTTGTGCTGAAATTACAACAATCTAGCCTCCTGTAATGCAATTTTTACCTTGATCTGATCCAAACTAGAAAAAGTGATTAACATGAAAGTTCTATCCTATCTCTCAGCCTCCCAATAGCTCAAGAATCATATCAATTGGACTTTTTAAGCATAATTAATACTCAAAATACTACAACATATACAAACAAGCTATCACCATACTTGCACGAATTATCACCAAATAAAACCTTTTCATAATATTTCCTACAAAAGCAGTAAAAGAGATCAACAAACACTAAACTTAAAATAATTAAAACAACTTAACATAAAATTAAACTAAAATAACTTAAACTAAAATATTTAACATGCATTGACTTTAATTAAAAAAAAACCATGCTACTGTGATTAATTTGTAAGTTAAAATTCTACTATGCAAGTATACGTATCGAATAGATAGTATATTAACAAGCAGAGTATCGATCCCACAGGGAATTGATCTAAAATTTTACTAAGTACTAAAATTAGAACAATTTAGTTTTACTCAAATAATTAAAATCTGAATTCTAATTGAACTAAAAATTACGCAACTAAAACTAATTTAATTACAAATTAACGCAACAAGATAATTGGGCAAACAGAAAATCAAACAAGCCTAGGATTACAATATCCCTCACACTTCATCTAAATCTACCTCTCTTCTTAACTTATTTCAATGGGTTGAATTGCTAACCTAGAGTCCTAAATTATTTATAAGGGTTCTCTTGACTCATCTTATAAAAATATCTATTTTAACTAAAATACTATATCCCTATGTGAATTGAAATTAAAATAGACTCATTCAGTTCAAGCTCTAATCTGGCTACATATGGCCTATAGGTATATCCCTATCCTATACGCAAATCAATTGATATGATCATATGCTATCCCAATTTTAGTCTAAACTAAACTCCCTTTCCCAAGTTTGTTTAGGTTCCTAGATCAATTTAATTGGTAGCCATGCAATTAAAAGCATTAAGCACAAATCAGAATAAGCAATTCGAATCCCATTAAACATAAGTAAGAAAGAGATTAAAAGTTGGATTACATGTGAGTTCAATTGCAATCCTAAAAAAATAATTTAGATCATAGTATCTAATAAAAATAATATCCAAAGAAATTTAGCCATGAATCCAAGTCAAAGAAAATAAGAAAAACACAAAAGTAAAGAGAGAAAACTAATAGTTAGAGTTTTGTGATCTTGATTCTCCCTCCAATTCTCTTGTTTTCTTGGCTTTTTTCTTGGCTTCAAATCTTCAGAATAGTTGCTTGCTGCCCCTCCTCCAAAATCTCTGAAAAAGGCTCCAAATAACCTAATTTTTGAAATCCCGTTAACTTCTCTTATTTTTGGAAAGTCACGCAGCGCTGCGCGCTACTTATCAGCGCTGCAGCGCTGAGCTCTCTGGAAATTTGTATGTGTGCTTCCTTTCATCAATGCTGCAGCCTGTTCTCCAGCGTTGTGACAGTCTATCAACTTTAAACCTGAGTTTCACCCTGATTACTACCTTTTTTTATTTTTCACACCTTTAAAGGTTGTTTTATCCAAGATGGAAATTGTTGTCCTTGTTTGGAATGAGAATAAACTTCTTGAGAGTGAGGAATAAGTGACTGTGGGTGGGGTTGTGTTTGTTGTGGGCAAGAACATGAACTAGTCTCTCTTGTAAGAAAATTTGACATAGTGCCTGATTTTTAATGCTTTGTCTTTGCCATCGTAGTAAAGTTTTCTGTTGGAAAATTACCACAATTAAAAGTTAGCACAAAGAAAAAAACTTATGCTAAAATAAAAGATAAAGCCATAGGTTTAGGAAGAACAAGGAAAATAACTATTAAAAGCAACATCTATACATATTTAAACTAAATAAAGAGAGTCCAAATTAAGAATACAACCTTGAGCAACATCCAAAGATGTGTCATTAGTTATCTCTTTGAATAGTATCTAGTGATTTATTGATTGTTAATCGATGTCACCCCTTAAATAACAAATACTATCATCACTAATACTGATAATAGGAACCAAAAAGGAAACATTTCGCTCATTATCAATTTCCCATGCATGTTTTTCATTTGATCCAAACATATCATATAAGTCTCTTAGACCACTAAGCTTGATAACAGCATGCCAATTCTTCTCAATTGGATCTTGAATGTAAAAATTTTGCTGCACTTGAGATGCCAATACAAAAGGATCATTTTGACTAGTCAATCCTTCTCAATTATTACAAGTCTTACAAGGGCACAAAATCAATCCTCCCTTCAACCCATTTGCAAATGCAAAACCAACAAATTGCCTAACTCCAATGTTTTTCTTAATCTAGAGCAACACATCCAAATCTTATCTATCACCTTTATAGAACTACTCAAATTCATTGAAAAAACAACTTTTTGAAAAGTAAGTCTACTCATGATAATTGTGCAAACTATCCAGTTAGGTAATAAAGGCATATAAATTATATATTTATCTTAATAAGGACAAATAAAATATTTCTATGCATGTCTACAATTTAAAGTATCCAAAGGGAAACACGAAACCTCTCACTAGATTCAAAGAGGGAGGCTTGAGTACTGTTACTAGCTAGAAAAAGTATGATAGCTAAAAAAAAAATACTAATAATATTATACTAATAATGAATAGCTTGGAAATGTGTTATTTTGTAAAAATATCTTCACAACATAAATAATAATAACCTATATGATGTTTTCAATGTAAATAGAATGATAATATTTTCGAAAATAGTTGTTAACTACTATTAAGACATTTGGTAATCAAACATATTTTAATTTTGGCATGTAGTATAAATGCAAGGATGTTAACTAAATGCACCAAAAACAACAACATATGCTAGTTAATTATTCTTTGTCAAAGTCAATTACAAAATCAACAATGTTAAAAGACAACATCTAATGTAAAACCAAGGAGCACCATGCGACGAGAGAGATTATTTTTATTTTGCATGGCCACAAACTCAATCAAAAACTGAAAGATCATATGTTAGCAAAAGCCTAATTGGGCCCAATCAAGACAAGCAAAAGCCCAAAACTATCAAAACAACTCCTGAACAATGACAAAAGCTAATCCAGGTGATAAATAAGATAATAAAATATATACAAATTAAGTTTCTTTATCAAGGTGAAGGAAATAAATAAAAACAATTGGTTCTAGTTCCTTGTAATCTATTAATTTTCCTGGATTTTTATAGTAATTTTGTCTGCATTCTCCTCTCTTGATTGTTTTAATTAGCTATTAATCAAAGACTTAAGCCTTTAAGTTTATGCAGCATTACTGAAGAAACTTGATTGGTAGATGTACCAAACAAGATGTGATTCAAAATTCATACATGTAAGTTGCACTAATTCTATGTTTACACAGAACTGTTTGATCAAAATAACTAAACCTGAATTTATACAAAAATCATGATCAAATAAAAATGAAAATGAGAGGACAAAAAGAGAGTACCTAAATCAAGGATTACACGAACATGTACATATAAGTTGAAACTTACATAATAAAAACTCTATTTCAACATATAAATTCGGAGAGAAATGAAGTAAGAGAAGAGAGCTGATGAGAGAGAGAGGAAGACCTATACGGTAGGAAAAATGAATTATTAAGACTCACAAAAGGCAGATTGTCTACTTAGACTGCTTGATAATATAATTATGTGGGCCATTATTTTGTGGGCTTCTCTTTCTCTTGCTCACAAATCTGTTTTAATTTATTTTAAGACAAATCTATTTTAATTTACTTTTAAATGATTACATTTTAAATAGTGCAGCTAAGTAAAAATCTATTACATGTTATATTCAGAATTTAGTTACATTAAAATAATTGCAGTAGTAAAAAGCCAAAACTTGTAGTAGTATATTGATTGATGTATACATTGGACTTATCTCCTTCAAAATTGTACAAAATGAAACAGAACTGTTCTTATGAAATTAGCACACTTGATCATTGACTATGATTGATGTATACTTCTTGTCAATGGTTGATATATATTTTTCCAGTCAAGAAACTATATTTGAATCCCCATATGCCTCTATATCACTATATCAATGAACAAGTTAAGATGAGAAGCTTGGCCAATATAACAACATTCGTATAACTATCACTAACCTGACATTCTTTCAAGTATTGAAACAAGTGACCATCAAAAAGTTTGAGCAAGCTTGAACCTTTTTGATTAACAATCACACTTGAATCACAGATCATATTTGAAATGCATGTAATGGTAGTTAGTACAACTCTCATATGCCTAGTTAATGCATCCTTAAATATCAATAGAAACAACATGCTTTCAAGCATCATAAGTTTTACAACCGTCGAAGCCTTAAACCACATAACGGTTTGAGTTATTCATAGCTTTACTACCTATAAAAACCAAATTAATACTTTACTTGTTAAAGTAGATGTCATTAACCAAACAACTTTTTGTAATAAGTAGCAAACCAGTAAATAAAAGTAGCATAAATAGGTATCTGTTTTATTATTTTAATTATTTGTGTGATTATCATTAGTGTTTCTGAAGTAAAAAATTCAAACCAAACACAGCATACAATAAGCTATTAAACAAACACAAGGAAATTATTTTTTCGGTTGTCTCAATAATTTCCAGTTTCAAAGTAAAAGCATGATTTATATTAAAGGAAAAAGATTAGATTATTCATGTAAATTACTAACAAAACAGAACATGTCTATAACATGTCAAACAAATTATCCGAAACTGTTTTTCAATCCAATACATATCACATACAGAGTCATCCATATTTTGTTAAATATAAAAATTATAAAATTTAAGCCATTTGATGTTTATGATATAAGGAGCACCATCTAAAGACTTCCCCCTCTCAAAGCAAGCACCAGATGAAGCACAGAGCCACCCTCAATATTGTACTCACGAGCCGTCTTATCATCTCCAAGCTGCTTGCCAGCATAAATGAGCCTGCAAACATGGAACACATGAGTGCATTACAACATCCAGGCAACTAAGAAATCATAAACCGGATCTGTCAACAATAACAAAAGTGAAGCACTTTTATTATGCTCAAAAATGCATCTTTCAGGTGAATGTTGCACAGATTAAACCAAAATAATGATGCAACTATACAAGTCTATTTCAAAAGAAAAACCCACAGAACAAGATGACTACCTTTGCTGCACAGGTGGAATTCCTTCTTTCTCTTCAACACGTTCCTTAATCCGGTCAATGGTATCAGTTGGCTCAATATCAATCTCAATTTCTTTCCCAGTCAGAGTCTTGACCTTGATCATAGTTCCTCCCCTAAGCCTCAAAACCAAGTGAAGAGTCGACTCCTTTTGGATGTTATAATCTGCAAGAGTTCGACCATCTTCAAGCTGCTTACCAGCAAAAATTAATCTCTGCTGATCAAGAGGGATTCCTTCCTTGTCCTATAAAAGTCGAGTCCACCATTAGTAATTAGCAAACAATTTATTACAGAAGAGTAAAAAAAAGGGTCTAACATAGACACCACTCCAAGCTCTGTCAAGCAGTTCAAATAAAAAGAAAATAAATTAATCACAAAGTAGAGAATTCTTTGTCAATAGATTGTATCCTACTAATCTTGGGTGACTATCACAGTTGTTACGACCACTAAATATAAAGTTAATCCACAATTCCAAAGAAGTCAGATCGAAATATATCATCGGCTAAAAAATCTGAGATAATTTACTCAATGCTAAATAGCATGAAAGTAAAAACAAATCAAGAAGACACAAACATTGTATCTTATTTTGATGTTAGGTGATCATTACAATTTTTTTCGACCATTCAATGTCAAAGTATCTCACCCTAGAAAAAATCTAAGTAAAATTTTCTACCATAAAGTATTTCCCTTCCTAGACAATTTCAATACAGCATCTAATCGATTAGTCCAAACTAGGAACGGAAGCAGCAAAACCGAAGTACGGTCAAAGAGTACAAATTCTTAGCATACAATAGGAACCAAAAAATTAATAAAACCATATTTTCATATACCCATCAATAATTTAAGTTCGAATTCTTTCTTTAAACTTTCCTTTTGGTTTTCTTTGCCTTTCTCGTCAACCAAACAGACAGTCAACTACGAATTCCAAATACAAATTCATTGAAAATAAAAAAAAAAACCATAGAAAAAAAAATTCTTAAAACATAGGAAGAGTTACCCCTCACACGTATCTATAAAAGTATTTCCTAATCGTTTACTTTAAGTTTTCTTATCAACCAAAACACGAAGTCAACTACGAACTCCAGATAATAAGACTAATTCTTTAGACAAACAAAACGAAAATAGTAAAGGAAAAGAACCTGAATCTTAGCCTTGACATTATCGATAGTATCCGAGCTCTCAACCTCGAGGGTGATAGTCTTCCCTGTAAGCGTCTTAACAAAGATCTGCATCTCTTTCTTACTGGGTTTTGGCAAGGAAGGAATTTGATGCTGCAATGCAATTCCGGGGGTGGCTTGGCTATTTTAAGAGAAGAATACTGGGGACTGGGGACTGGGGACTGGGGGGTATTTATTGTTAATTTTTGTGAGAATCTCTAAATCTGTGTTCGATTAGAGACAGAAATACCTAAGTGGTGGGGCCTCATATTTTTTCTTACATGTCAAAGGAAGTCACATAAGGGCGCCAAAATTTCTGGCACCTGCGCTGTTTGGTCCTTTGCCACGTGGCGCTCTTAAAAAGTTCTATCAAAGGGGCCCCGGAATTGGTCCAAAGTGTGGACACATGGGCTGCTTGATCTTTTGCAACGTGGTGCTTTGAAAAAGGGGCCCCGGGGGCGTCTGGTTTGACTCGGATGGATTATTATGCATTTAGTCCCGCACGAGTCCAATGGATTTTGTCCACGTCATCATATTTATATGCGTTGTTTATTGGTGGAGACTGTTATGCTTTTTGGGAGCTTGGTTCTTCATATTTTGGTTTTAATTATGCATTTTCTTTGTTTGTTATATTTCTAGCATTATTATTTTCATTATATTCCTCCCTATTCTTTATGGGTTTGTTTTTTTTTCTTTTCATCTTTGAGTAATTTCAATGAAACAAGGGATTAAAGAGGTTAAATTAAAATATATTAGATCGGGTTTAAGCTGGCTGTAAGTTAGTTATTTTGATTATGTTTAGCTTTTAATGTGTTGGGTTAAGAAAAAATTAAAATGAATTAGATTGGCTTTGACATGTTAGTTAATTATTTCATTGTATTTAGCTTTTCATGTTTTGGGTTAAAAAAGAGAACTTTTTTATTCTAGTTTCTTAATGCCTTAGCAAATGTTAATTATATATTTTTTTCGTTTAATTTAAACAAAATCATTAATCAATTGTGCAGTTGCTTATTGTCAATTTTTTAAAGAGAGTAGCAGGAATGGCTGGTTAAAGACAATATTACAATATTGAATAACAGTATAGATAGTGTTCTTTCACACCTATGCTATTTGTATTTTGGTCTTTAGTATGAATTTTGTGTATTTGTTATGTTTTTGCTATGATTTTCATTTTTTTTCTTCCTATTCTTGATGTGTTTTCTTATTGATTTCTTTGCCCTTTTTCTTCTGCAGGGAATTTTGATCAATAAAGTAATTAAGCAAGTGACATTAATTTGCCCCTTTTCCTTTGTTATATCTGTTTAATTGCCTTTTTTTATATTCTTAGTTTGTGTTGGTGTATTTTTAAAATAAAAGGTTGTGTTACATAATATGACTATTGGATTGTAGATGGGTTTTTTTTTTTGTAAATAGTTATATCTCTTGATAAAATGACAATTGAAAAAACACTTCTAAATCCAAAAGTTATAAGACAATTACAAAAACAGTATAGCTCAAAAGTTTGGATATGAAAAGTTATCTTTTCATATTGTAGTTCAAAAATTATGTTTTATGGAATGAATGGTTATCTTTTTATAAAGTGAATATTGAAACAATATATTTAGTCAAAGATTGTGTCTTACAAAATACAAAGATATCTTTAAGACAAAGAGATGCCTTGATGAAAGGACTGTGTCCTTCAGAAGAGACACTTGCAATCTTATATAAAGGACTTGCTACCAACCATTTTGGCACACCAAAAATAAATAAGACAAAAGTAAAAAATTCAAGAACAATAGAAGTATTATATTTTGAAAATAAATATAAACACTTGGGTTCCTATCATTTATCACAGGAATTCAAATTCCTTATAATCTACTTGCTGTAGAAAGTAGGCTTTAAGTAGAACAACTTTACAAACCTTCAAGTGTATTTAGCAGTTTACTCTCATAAAGTGTAAAGACGAAGTTAGACGTTAATTTTATTGTATCCTTAAGGCTATTTGCATAGTTTTCCTTTTTCATTTTAAATGGTAGGGGCAAAATAAGTATTAAAGATAACATCTATTGAAAATCTCATCTTCAAGTCAATTTGTTAACTCTTTAAATTTCATCTAGATCCTTTTTGCACCAAAAGTTTGTATTTTCAATTTTTCATTTTATGCTTTGCTTTATTGTAAAATTATACTTAGTTCTAGTTGTTAAAACATTTATATGCTCTCGTTTTGCAATTCTTTTTATTAAATTGGCTACTTCGTAGCATTTAAAACATGTTTATGTTCTTATAAACTTAAAGACTAATTTTTTTGTCTTATTCCATAAGGAGAAAAAAATAAAAGTTATCCTGCATGCATCGTGCCATAGGATCCAAACATGACATTGACCATAAGTCTCTTTTCGGTGCTTTGGTGTTGTTTTAAAATAAACATGATGGCTCTTTAAGGCTAGGTATTGATTATCGAGCTTTAAACAAGTTAACTACTAAGAACAAGTACCTCATTTCGCTTAACTTGTTCGATCAATTAGGGATACTAAATGGTTTTGGAATTTAGACCTACGATCTGTCCACTATTAGGTGCAAATAGTTGAAGGGGACATTTCTAAAACAACTTGTGAGATGAGTTATGGATCCTATGAGTTTCTGGTTATGTTTTTTAGACTCCTACCCCCAACAACTTAGTGTACAGTCATGAACAAGGTACTTCAAGCCTTTCCTTTATCAATTTATAGTAGTGTATTTTGATGATAATGTTATTTATAACCACACTTTACATGAGTCCATAGAGCACTTGAGACTTGTGTTTGATGCCTTTATCTAGCATTAGGTCTATGTTAAGAAAAAAAAATGTTGTTTTGGGTTGCATGAACTACAACTCTTTGGGCATATTATTGGTGAGAGGAATATATGGATGGACCTAACCAAGGTGAGTGTCATCCTAGAATGGGAGCTATCTACCAAGGTAAGGAAGTTGACATCCTTGTTTGGCCTAGACAATTATTATAAATGGTTAATTTAGAATGTTTTAGCCATTGTCGTTTTTCCCATAGACACGTTGAAAAAGGGCAAAGTATAAGCATGTGACTTAGTGTGCCAGTAGGTTTTCAATGGGGAAAAGAAGGCATTATGTAAGCAACCAATGTTGGGGCTGGTTGATCACAAGCAGTCATAGAAGGTCCAAACAAATGCGTGTGACTATGACATTGGTGTAGTGTTAATGTAAGAGGGACACCTTATCATGTATAAGAGTTAGAAGCTCAATGATATTGAAAAGAAGTACACCGTTTGGGAGAAGGAGTTGTCGACGGTAGTCCACTGCTTATGCATGTGGAGACATTACCTACTAGGTGTTCAATTTGTGGTCAAGATTAATAATATGGCCACCTTGTACTTCCAAAGTCTAAGAATGCTCACACCAAGCAAGTTGGATGGAAAAACTTCTTAGCTGACACCGATTTTAAGTTAGAAAATAAGTTTTGCATGGCTACTTTAGTGGCAGATGCTTTGAGTCGTAAGGCCACATTGCTAGGAATTAACAAGGCAAGTAGAAAGTTGATGTCACGCACTAGATAAAGTTTGGAGCATGATCCCATAACTAAGTCAATACTTGAGCATGTTAAGGAAGAAAGGACTAGAAGGTTTTGGAAGCATGAGGGCTTATTGTACACCAAGGGCAATATGTTGTATATGCCACAACATGGGGGCCTGTATAAGCATATTCTAAAAGAATGCCATGATAGTTGTCGAGTAAGGCACCTTGGCGTAAATTAGACATTCGCATTATTCAATACAAAATTTTATTAACCCCATTTAGAGAAAGATGTGGAGGGGTATGTAAAAACTTATTTGGTGTGCCAATAAGACAAGTTACAAAAGAGGTCGAGAGGATTGCTTGATCCTTTACTAGTGCTCAACAAGCCATGGGACAGTGTTAGCATGGATTTTATCATTGGATTGCTTTGGGTTGACGGGTTTGGAAGCATTATGGTAGTTATGGACTTATTCTCCAAATATGCCACATTGATAGCTACCATGGAAAGTCTCCAACGGAAGAGGCAACTAGGCTATTTATGAAGCATGTGGTGAAATATTGAAAAGTCCCTAAGACCATCATCAATAAGAGGAATAGTCTATTCATAGGTAGGTAATGGACTGAATTATTCAAGTTGTTGGGGTCTAAGCTATACTTTTTCACTAGTTTCCACCCATAGTCCAATAGGCAAACCAAGAAGGTGAACATGAAGTTGAAGTTCTTTCTGTTATACTTTGTGCATAGTACTTAAATAAACTAGCCTTGATGGCTTGATATGGCTTGGTTTTCTCACAACTTGCAACATAGTGAGTCCACGGGTCAAAACCCCTTTGATATAATGTCTAAATAACAATCATATACGCCTAGCACAATAGCAATGGGATACACTAGTTCAACCCCTACTACTTATAAGCATGCTCAAGCATGGGAAAAGCAATGAGAAATGGTAAGGCTATTAAAAGGGCTAAGAAATAGTAGAAAAGTCACAAAAATAGGCTTATTTTGTTATAGGTGACATGGTGATGGTAAAGTTCCCCTTAGTGTAAAAGCTTAAGGGGATCGACAAGGGCCTAGTGCAAAGATACACTAGGCCTTACAAGGTGGTTAAAAAGATAGGTTGGGTGGCATACAAGTTGAACATGCCACCCAAACCCAAGGTGCATCTAGTTTTCCATGTGAGTATGGTTAAGCTTTAACATAGGATCAAGGAAGATACTAATTGAGGAGTGATCCATAGAGCACGAGTGGGGGTTCGAGCTACATACGAGGGAGAAGTAAAAGAGGTGTTAATTGGTAGGGTGTTAAGGTAGAAGTATCATATGCCAGGGTACTAGTACCTTGTGAAGTGAGAAGGATTGCTCAAGATCAAAACTAGTTGGGATTATGTGAAAGACTTGTGGTAGTTTTAGAATAAGGTTGATTCCTTCCATGAGGCAATGAATACATTACAAGCTTAGGGGGAGGAGGGTGTCATGGCTCCCAGTTTGAGACGTCGAAAAAGGCTGAGTGTGCCTATCAAGTCAATAGGTAAATAACCAAGTCCTTGAGTAACCCCCATTTCATTGTACCCATAAAATGGGGAGATAACCCTTTTCGATGTCGAGGCATGTTGATAGCTTACTTGAGGTGCACAGTAGCCTACATCAGGTAAACAAGCTTGGCCGCACATAGTAAGGCAAACGACACTCACCAT